TATTTCGATCTGTGGAGGGGCTCCTGGTCCATTTGGAAACGTGTTCAAGCGTTGGGCTACGTGAGGAGCGGCGCCCTGAATTGTCCGGCATCAATTTCTCGCTGGTTTTAGGGCGGCCCGCAAGAGGCCAAAACCGTGTCCTGCGCCATTTTTCTGATGATTTTTGTCCAGGTTGAGGCCGCCGCAAGTCGTGAAGGATCGGGGCCCCGATCCTTGCCGTCCATCTGGAGCACCCCCAACTCCCCTCAAGTCGTGAAGGATTGCTTGTCCAGTTGGAATGGTGGAGGATTGCGAGCCCTAATCCTTGTCCAGTTGGAGGTTGGAGGCCGCGTCAAGTCGTGAAGGATTGGGGGCCCCAATCCTTGTGCAGTTGGAGGGGGCTTCAAGTTGTGAGGGATTGGGGGGGCCCAATCCTTGTCCATTTGGAACGGCTTCCTAAGGCTCACTTCAAGTCGTGAAGGATTCGGGTGCCCCCATCCATGTCCACTTAGCAATCGCGGAGGATTGGGGGGTCAACTTGCGTAGGATTGGAGGCGTCTTCCGCAAAATGGGGTTTAGGGTAATACAATCTACATTAGTGTCTAGCTCGGCGATGATAGCTTTGCGACCTCTCAGGAATGTGCTCGCAGNNTCGCAGGCTCTGCAGCTCTAGCAGAGTCTGCTCGGTCTCGCTGAGTGTTCGACTGCGTCCGCCTACCCCAACAGAAGCGAGAGGGATGGGGCGGGTTTCGGATGTAGGCTATGAGGAAAACTTCATGTCTAAGGGTCCTGTAAGGGTTCTACGAGGTTTACGGCTCTTTTGCAAGCGGCGGCTGTGAGCAGCAATTAAGTCGCATTCAATCCCACGTCGCCGGTTTTTGGCGTATTTGGGATGCTGGATGCTACCTGCGACCTTAAAGCGATGAATGCATATCCTTAATGGGTGTATGCTCTATAAGGGAGCGGTTGAGTTGAGGCAAGAAGCCGAACTATCACGCAATGTAGACAAAAGTGAAATCTTACCAAGGCGGTGTACCCAGCGTGCCTGTGGCGGCAGTATGATATCGCCCCGACGGTAGGTTTGCGACCCTACGTACAACCAAACCCTAAGCCCTGAGGAGGCAAATAAACTTAAACCCCACACCTGAACCCTACTTGATGACAACTGCCCACCAACCCCTCGGGTAAC